ATCCATACCTTGCCCTTCAGAAAATAAATTGTGCTTGTTGCTTGCCCATTTTGGATTCAATGATTTGAAAGATCTTTGACAGAAAGGCTAGAGAATAACTGCATCCCAATGGCACATTCTGTACTGTACAAAATACATAGAAAGGATGAAAAACTGACCCTGAAATACTGATGTTTTGTGGGAGTGCTTTTCTGACAGAATTTTTTTTTTCCCCCTGGAAGACAGAAGAACGTTCTCAGTGCAATCAAGCCGTGTTTAAAAGCAGAAAAAGGCTACAATCTGCGGAGCATCTATTAGCCCACACACCAGGAAAGTGTACTGGATTCAAACCAGAGAAAAATACTAATTTTGAATCTCAGTGACCAATGTATTGGTTATTTAACTGCCAAGTACTGTCACAATGAAGCATTTCTAAGAGACGTTTTTCAGGCCCCAGATAATTTTTCCACACACACTTGAAGACCTCGGGAACCTCTGTTTGTGTCTTCTGAGGGAAGATGAGATTGGAGTCCTCCATTCAGCAGAAGCAATTTAGGATGACGTTAGTTTTGCTGAAGTGGAAAGACCACTATAGAACTGTTTTCTAATTATGCAAGAACCTTGCAGCTCCAAATATATACATATTTGGAGTAAAAATACACAGCTAAAATGTGTGTATATATAATACACACATTTTAGCTGGGAAGTAAGAGTAGAGACTAGATTAACATTTGCTAACTATCCACCTTTTGCCAGAAATCACAATTCTTTACTTCAGCTGGCCCCAGCCATGTCACAACGCTTCAGCTTTAACAGTTTGTGGGATTAGATTGTCACTATAATTCAGAATTGAAGAAGAGCACAGCTTCCCATTCACCAGAAACTGAAAGTATCCACAAAACTAAGACAGTTCAGTAACCCTCCCACAATTGTTTTCAGACTTACTTTTATAACGCATGGGAAAAAAAGTAGGAGTACTTTTAAAGATAAACTCAAATCTCCAAGTTAAAGGTCTCTTTTCATATGAAGCTTCTAGTGTTCAACACCAAAGTCTAAGTTCATACAGAACTCCATCTCATTCATATTTTCAGTTGCATAGTTGGTGTCTTTACTACGTATCCAGCAGCACTCAATTCAATAAATCCTACTAACATTTACATTTCCAAGTTTGGGCAGATTCTACTAATGTACAGACTTGTCAAAATTCAGAGTAAAGCATTTTATTTTTTAAAAGAGAAGTATGAAATCTTTTTGCAATGAGCAGTTTAACTAACTGGAGCTCAAGAAGTGATGGAAAAGTTTCTTTTCATTTAACTGTAAAAAAACAAAGCAGCAGACAGATTTTGCTGAAGCATCTGACAAGTAATAACAACATGCCATATGTTTTGCATCAAAAATTCTATAAGATGCACTATAAAGAATTAGCACTTATAGATAATAGGAAGACAAAACACTAAATCGCTACAAGACTGAAGTAGAGAAAGAAAAATCCTAGCAGTAGGAAATACGAAGTTACAACAGGTTAAATATCATCACTGGGAGTCAAATGAATGGGGCCAAAGCCTTTTCAGTGTTGTACAGGAGCAAGGGGTAACAGGTAAAATCTGGAACAAAAAGTTCCATGCAGACATGGAGAAGGAGCTGCTTTATTGTGAGGGTGACAGAGCACTGGAACAAGCTGCCCAGAGAGGATGTGGACTCTCCTTCTCTGGAGACATTCAAGACCCACCTGTGCTGTAAGGATGGCTGATATTCAGTGGTCCCCTCAAACCCTTACAATTATCTTAATATCCACTAAAAATTTACTGAAAAAAAAATGAGGTATTTTCAAAAATAGAGAAGAATGTACTCTAGAATATATGACTAGTCACTGGACACCTAGTGAGTAAATTGCAAGTGTGCAGAAGCCATTTATAAGAAATACTACTCAGTGTGTATGAGTCCATCCAAGCATTTAGGGGTGAGAAAGGAAAGCACTGACATTATTCAAGATCTTGAGGTGGTTTTACCTGGAATACTAGCTGCATAGATTCAAAGAATAGATTCAAATGGAAATAGTGAAGAATCAGTAAGACAATCGGAAGAACAGAAGATGCATCTGAAATACTAAATAAATTTCAGGTTGTTTTGTCAAAAATGTAAAGGATGAGAGGCTATTTGTACTATATAATCATAACATGTGGGGAAAAAGTTGTTGAATAGATTTATTCAATAGGTATTCTAATAGCAATGCTTAAAAAAAGACAAATGGTTAAGAGACTAGTAGAGCAATCTGGAATAGATCTTCAATGTAAAGGTAATCAGACAAGGTTCTAACCAGTTTTAAGACAGTGCTTGATAAATTGATGTAAGAGCTTGGCACCGGACTGCAGGAAGCAGGAGTCCCTTCCTAACCTGATGTTTGTGTTTCTTCATGTGCCTGTGAAGACAGAATGAAAAGGGATTACTTCTTACATTAAAATTACCCTGGATTGCCTAAAGTATACTAACAAATAACCAATATGTGGAAAAGGAAAATAATCTGACAGATGTTTTTGAGCTCCTTAGTTTAATGAAGATAGAGTTACAGTGATAAAACTTAAAAACATTTTTTATTATATAAACAACTCAAAAGATTTATAGCAATTTTACCCAAGCTCCATGTCTCCAAGGAATGAATGATCAGAGACTTAAGTCATCTCAATTTCCCTCTCACAGACTAGTTGAAATTTATGGTCGCTGCTCTGAAACAGAAAGATTTATGAAGTATGATTGCTGAAGCAAGACCTGTCAGCAGCAAATGGCCATTTCTAAGAATTCTTTTTTAGGATTTAAACCCACAGCTTCAGCTCAAATCATCACCTTCAGAAATCTAAACACATTTCTACGGACATCCTTTGTAGGCAATATTGCTCCTCCCACAGCAGAACATGCCTGTCTGAAGAGAAATGGGAATGGCAAAAATAAGTTTTTCAGCAGTACATAAATTACATTACACATCAATTTTAACCTCATTATTCATGTCTTTCAGAGTGAAAGATAATTCACTCATTTCTTTGTCAAAACCTTGCAGTAAGAAAGAATTTTGGTGCTGGAGAATAGGCAAAACATTTCAGGAAACTCCTGACCATTAGCATCCTATTGCTTCTACCTAAGGACCACATTTGCATCCTTCTTCTCTATGCTGGAAAGGAATGTTAGCACGTGACAAACCTTAGTCATTAAAGCTGCAGCAGCACTGAGCAAATATCAGGTTAAGGACTCCAAGAGTTAATTCAGCCAAGTAGGAAAAAGATAATGGACATCAATCCCTCAACACCCTGAAATTATTTTATTTTATGAAGTAAGAAACTGTGTTCTCCTCTGCTGTTATATATATACATAAAAATCTTCCAGTTCAAGACCTACCAGACTAACCATAGGCAAGAATAATACAAAGGTTTAACAGAATGCAAATGAATACAGAGTTAGAGCACTGATAATTAACTTAAACATTATTTTCTGGCAGATATATTGAGTTGATCTCGTCTTTAATGATATCATCCTTCGTTATTAAGGTTAGTACTAAAACTTTGGCATTTTACCAACCATGCTGTTTCACCCTCTACCATGCTACAGAATCCAAGTATGCTGAAAGTACTAACCAAAATACAACAGTTAGAAATGAGAAATAGGAAGTTATATCTTTAGAACATCCTAAAATGAGCTGTATTGGAGCTTCTCTCTAATTCAACAGATAAAATGGAAGGAAAAAAGTCTGAAATTGCAATGAATAATTTTTAAACTATAAAAGGATATAGGAATAAGTATGAGACAACTGCAAGGCAAGATAAAATAAAGTATGCATCTTATAGCTTACTTGAAAGCCCATTTTATCAAGCTATCTTTTAAATACAGCCCAGTCCTAAGGCTTACCTGCAAATACACACAGTGAAGCTAAAGTCTGAAACAACACATGGTCCAAGAAACAAATAAAAGAGAGGAAGGAAGGGAAGGAGAGAGGAAACAGCTGACTACAAACACCCCAAAAGAGGCTTATGATAAAAAAATATCTCCATGAAGATGGAATAGTAAATATCAAGTATCCAAGTAGAAAAATATCAACTGGGGAAGTAAACTGAGATTGTATCTCCATCATGTAAGTAGTGTTGTCTTCTGTTGTCAGTATTTACTCAAAATTTGATGTCTGGGAGGAAGACCGAATTATTTTTCTGCAAAGGGTCAATATGTTTAGCTCAAGTACAAAATCAGTGAATTCTCTTTATTAAGTCTAAAAGAGGAGAAAGGATAATTTCTATCCTTTAATTCAAGCAAAAATATGAAGATGACCAGTATCTGGAAGCTGAAGTAATACCTCACTAAACACATAGCCTAAGTCCGTAACAGTAGAGTGATACAACATCTTCTTTAGATATGTGATGTATGCTGTGTCACCTGCAGTTTTCAAGTTTTTTTTACAAAAAAACAGTAGAATCGATCATCACTGGAGCAACACCTTGATTTAGACTACTCTTCTACTGGCTTGCACTATGGAGTCTAAGAACAACAGAATTATTATTCTAATTATGCAGAAAAATGCGTAAAATTCAGACAACTAATGCATTCTTTTTGTGGTATCACCATTTATATAGATAGAAGTACTTGCAGGTACAACTTTTAAAGTAAATATTTTAAAAATAAGTGAACAATAAAGAAATTTCCAAAAACATTCTTTAAAAATCATTTTCTTTAATTTGTCATTAAGACAAGAATTGCATTTTTAAACACCTATGAGATGCTGTAAGCTAGATATTGAAGAATACACTTAAGATACTTTATTGAATAATTAAGATGTTAGTAAGTGCTTAGCTACTACATGACAGGTAAAACAAAACGTTTTAAAATATTCACTTTTTTCAAAAAGAAAAATGCACTGAATTAAGATATGTACACGTGGAGTTATCTTGATAAGCAAAACTACATCAGATTAGACTTCCAAGATGTCAGTACTTAGGAAGAAGGGGAAAAGGAATGAAATGTAAGGACTTGCGTGCCTTACAGATTTAGAGTCTTTTTAAATTTCTTTTGCTTTGGGCACTTCCTGGAGGAGCATCTTTTTTGTTCTTCTGTTTTGCTGATAAGCTGTTACATTCTTTGGACCCATGGAAAGCATGCAGACATAAAATGCAGAACTCAAAGGCACAGGCCTCTCTGCTACATAGCCCCCATTTCTTTACCAACTGATACTTAGCAGGATATTGACATCTTGGACAGGGTTTTAGAGCTTCGTCAGTGAATAGAGTTTTAGCAACCTGTAGCAAAAAGGAGGGAGAGAAAAATAAGTTAGTTCTCATAAGTGAGAATTTTCTTAGAACTGAAAGTGACAAATTTCTTGGCTACCTACTTTTATGTATTCTTCCTGTCTACTGGTTGACTGGGGAACAGAACTGCATCTCCTGGGTGTAAGTTCAGTGTAAGAGGGTGGTGTTTGCAGTCCAGGAGTTCTGGCTTGAGCTTGAACTGGCCTTAGAGCAGATCTGTTGAGGACATTAAGTCTTGTGGCAGCATCTTCAGTTTTCAATAGGTGTTCCTGTAAAAGTTGATAATTATAAGGGGGGATGAGAAGGAAGCAAATCAGAGCTTTATTTACTTCAGAATGTTTTTGCTTCCTAAGTTTTCTCCTTGCAACACCACAACAGAATATGTACAGTGCATGCATTTCCATTAAACATTTGTATTTAGTAAGGAGACAAGATAGGAACCACAAAAAATAAAGTCCCATGAGCAGGGTAAACAAACCAACAGTATTTAGCACTTGATTACTTTCACATCGGTCCTCAAGTTTCTGAAATAGAATGCATCTCAATAGCAATCACAAGGCTACCAAACATAAGTTTTGTCACACCTAAAGCATTGTGTGCACAGATGGAGAATCTCCTGAAAATGCATATTTATATTCATAATACATTTGATTTCTAGAAAGCTCTTAAGAACCATCTGTGTTTCCCTCTGTTCAAGTATACCATGAAGAAGATAAGATACTGGCAGCTCTGAAAAATAATCGGGAAGTAGTACAGAATTCTAATGGACTGCAGACTAGAGTGAAATGAGAAATACTATGATATAGAGGTGTTAGAAGCTATTTTAAAGACCCCAGGCTAGAATCACTTGATGAAAATATGCTCAGGGTATAGGGGAAGGAAATCACATGGTTTTAACAGGAGTACTCAAAGTAGGACCAGATGAAAAGCAGTAAAATCAAAGCAATGACATTCTCATGTTAACATGCTAGAACTGTTGCTATTAGCTACCTTTAAAAAGCTTAGTGCACCCTCTGTCTCAAATACTTTAATACATGGGGAAAAAAAAGCAACCAAAAACATTAACTTTGAGACAACGCTTACCTCAGCTGCTTCTTTCAGCTGTTTTATGTATGACTTCCTCCTCCTGTCTGCTCTTTTATCTTGTACAATGATTTCACGCCAGTTTTTGCTTACTTTCCAAATGCTGGAACAAATGAATGAAAAATTATCCACTCACAATTTTTCATGGTATGACAGAAAACAGTATAGGTACCTTGTTAAGACTTTCACAGACTTCTTGTGATTTTATAAAGTACTTCTATATACTACAGAATTGTAGTATACCACTGCATTGCCATAAAACAAACTTCACACATTCTGCACCATTGCACAGTACGCATAGAAGAATCTAGTGAATAACTGCAGTATAAACAGCATAGCACATCTTTGGCTCACCAAATTAAATACATTTTTTCCCACATAAGCCATTTAATTTTGCTCCTCAACTTATATTTCTAAGCATTAAGTATTCTGACAATATCTATGTCCTGATAATTCTACCTATTCCTTTTGTAACACATGTGACACTCTTGATTTCTTTAAATTAAGTGACAACTTCTACTGATTTCAGAAAATAAATCCAGAACATTAAGCAATATTCTTTGAGCTCTTTTGTCTTTGTGCTTAGAAATAACTGAGGAAATTAAATATGCAAGAAAAATGATTGGAAACTTGTACTAAGAATAACTGACTTTCTAGGTTTGAAAAAGAATGTCAGTGTTTTAAAACTTACAAGTAGTGTGACAGTTTCAATTTAATCTCCCCTTTTATTTTTCCCTCTAATTCCTGTATACAAAGTATAATTAGAACTACGTAGAAATAACCACTTAGTTACTTGTGAAAAACCCCTTTTAATTTCCCCTAAATTACACACACACAAAAAAATATATTGACAATTCCCATTATTCCAGAAATTACCCTAATTTATTCACAGAAACATTTTCAAAATTTCATGGGGTAGAGAGAAGGCAGAACAGCAGTAGTACCTACCTGCATAGACTTTCCACTGTCAAAGCATCTAAAACAATAGCAAGAACATGTTTTAAATTTCTGTATTTTAATTCAGTTAAAATATCTAACTTTTCAAGGCCCATTTTCTTGCCAATAAGTCCAGCGAGAACATGTTTTAATGCAACTATTTGTGTTCCGACAGTATTCTTTGATATTTGATTTTTGTCTGATCTTTGTCTTTGCAAGCAAATTTCATGGACTACTTGCAGAGCTGGAGTTCTTGAGAGATCTCCATAATTTACAGCTGAGTCTTCACTCGTCTGTTCCTTTAAAAATAATCCACGGTCTTCTGTGACAAAGCTTCTTTCTTCCACTAACATACGTGCTGAATTAGGACTGCCATGATGGTCTTCTGTCTCCGACTGTGAGCCCTGTTCCTGAAGAGTTGACAACCTTCTCACTCTTTCAATTTTCCTTGCCTTTCTTTTAATATCCAGAATTTTGGAACCTTCTTTGCGTTTTCGAAAGCTCTCTTGAAAAGAACCCTCATGATCAGACAACAAGTCTCCTGATTTGTCCAGTTGGAGTGAATTATATCCGCTATCCTCAGGTGTTGAAATATTTGGGTAACTTGCCAGCTTAACAGAAGGATTGTTTCCATCGCACAGCTCAAAGTTGAAGTTCTCTACAAGACTATCAATAGAATTCAGGATCTTGCTATCACTGGCCTCAGGTAACACACTGCAAGTAGGAGTCTGAAGCAACCCTTCACTAACACTTAAAAGGACACTCTCACTGAATTCATTAGTGTTACTAGCAGTAACATCCTTACCCTCAATTGGAGAAAAACATTCTGTTTCCAGCAATGAGGGATCCTTACATTTGGACTCATCTAGAGTAGAAGTCCTTTGTTGTGAAAAGGATAGTCGCCGTTTTGGGCAATCAGGACTAGAGCCCTCAGTCTCCGCAGTGCTACCTTTCAGGGTGTTGCAACTTTCATCTTTCAAAGAGTGTGAAGCAGTTTGTGACAGTTTTTCTTCAGAGCTCAGAACGGAAGGGAACAGTTTTTTCCTGCTGCTCACTGAAGAACCAACTTGGTTTTCACAGCTCCCTAGAGCTGCACCAGCCTTCAATGAAAGCAGCCTCCTGCGTAACGAGGAGCCTTTTCTACCCGCTTTCGGGGTTTCAAAAAAATATGTGCTCCTGTTTACTTCTCTTCTGTCTGATAAGGAGATAGAATTCATTTCATTTTCAATAGATGACACAGAACAGAGGTCATTTGGACGAATATGGTCAGAATGCTCTTGTAGCAAAGATAAACTTGTTGCTCTCGGTGTTTCTTTACGTTCTGCATCAGGATCTTTTAATGACTCATTGCATCTGCTGTCCAGAATTACTGAAGTGGAACGAGTGTCTTTAAAACTGGAGCCTTTAAAACTGCTGCTGGGAGACGTTAACCTGTTTCTTTTAATAATATTGAACGCTACTGAATGACTATCTGACATCTTCTGCTTTGCACTTTAACTCTGTAAATGAAGACAGCAGTGTTATTTTTGAAACAAACAATGAAAATAATCACCCCGGAAGAGTAAAAAGAAGCCTTGTGTAAATCTACAAATACATGTTAAAAAAAAGTATTTTCATTACTCTTAATAGAAACAGTGCTTATATGTGAGTACAAAGATTAACTTTGTACAGTCAAGCATGTTGTTAGAATGATCAATTTCCCCCTTATCCCAACAGGATTGAATTTTTTTGTTATTATTTTTTTATCAGCAGTGTTACTGATTCATGAAATCACAAGCAGTAGCCCTCAAGAGCTAGCAGAGGATAGAGATAGATTTTCTAATGTAAAAGTTATTTTCTCATTAGTTAAAGAGAAGATTAGCTGTGAAGAGACAAGTCTACAGTTCTCCCTATTGTAGCTTCCACAGTAGCCAGACAGAATAAAATTTGACCTCTGGGTGCAAAGCAGACAACATATTCTCATCTGCCTTAATACTTAAATGTTATTTTCTAAAGGTGTGTTTTTTTTCACACAGCTCTGTGGATAAACTAAGTGTTCTGAAGATTTACACTTTGGATATTGTCTATTGATTGTCTATACGTATGTGGGAACTTCAACATAGACTTAACAAGTACTAAAGTTCTCAAGAGCTACTATATGTTCTCCTCCAACCAAAAATAATAAATAGTTGATGCATGCGTTTAAGTAATAATTGTAAGAACGCAAAATGACTGATTTTTGCCATCCAGTAATGTGGAGTTTCTTTACATTGCCCCAAATTGCAATAGGTTGCACAAGATGTAATAGTGATAAAGGAGATATTATGAACAACGCTGTTAAGGGGGGGTGTTATCACAGGAAGAAAAAAAATCAGAAGAGTCTCAAAGTTTGAAATGGAGATTTCAGTGGGCTGCTGCTGGCCTCAAGAACTGGTATCTTGGAATAAAAATCTAGAATTTATCACTGAAGTTTTAGACCAGACAAAACTGGAATTTTTATAGGTGGCTTAAACAACAAACATTAAGACATTGCTACTAACAGCACTGACCTAGTCAGGAATTAAGCCACCAAGTACAGCTGAGGCAAGCCCAAAGTCCTAGGGAAAGAAGGGGGGAAGAAATTATCCTGCGATGATCTAGGGTCAATTTTCAAATGATGAAGGCACTCTGCAGGATCATTGCAATATAAACATACTTTCATAGAATCACCAAGATTGGAAAAGATCTTTAAGATCATCCAGCCCAATCATCCACCTATCACCAGTATTTCCCCCACTAAACAACATCCCTTAGTACATCTGTACATTTGTTGAACACCTCCAGGGAAGGTGACCCAACTACCACCCTGGGCAGCCTGTTTCAACACCTGATCACTCTTTCAGAGAAAAAAAATTTCCAAAAATCCAACTTGAACCTCCCCTGGCACAAATTGAGGCCATTTCCTCTAGTCCTATTACTAGCAACAAGAAAGAATAGGTCAACTTTCAGGCAGCTGTAGAGAACAGTGAGGTCTCCCAGAGCTTCCTCTTCTTCAGAGCTGAACAATCCTTCAGCCGCACCCCATAAGAGCTGTGCTGCAGACCCCTCACAGCTTTGTAGCCCTTCTCTGGGCACCCTCTAAGGACCTCAACGTCTTTCTTGTAGTGAAGGGCAAAAAAACCGAGCACAGTACTCAAGGTATTGCCTCACCAATGCTGAATATATAGAGAAAAACAGCTTCCTGGTCCTTCTGGCAACACTATTTCTTATATAAGCCAGGATGCCATTGGTCTTCTTGGCTACCTGGGCACACACCACTGGCTCATGTTCAGCCAAGTGTCAACTAACACCCTAAGGTCCATTTCTTCCACACAGCCTTCCAGCCATTTTGTTTTTTGCCTACAGTGAGCAGATTGCAATGTCAGTCCAGAGGACCACGACACTTGAGAACAGACTTTAACTGACATAAAGGTCTGTGAAATCAGACTGATGACAGTATGAAACAAGATTAGATTTAAAACAAAGAATGCACCTAATTGAAAAGAATTTTTGCAGAAAAGATGTTAGAAAACGAAGACAAATTTGGCCTTGTTCCTTTCCCATATACCTATATAGCTACAACATTTTCACCTTACTCTCATATCTCACCTTTGCACTTGTTTTTCCTCATTGCTTTTTACTCATTTCTTGGATAGAGACAAGCTATGCACTCACTTAACAAAATAAGAATGGAGGAAATTCGAAATACTACAACATAAAGTTGTAGTACGTTTTTGAGTAGCATAAAATTGCAGAGAAAAAAAGCTTTTTACTGTTGTTGGGATGATCAGAACAGCAGAGTTTAAAGAAAAAGCGGCGTTGAAACCTTAAGCAAAAGTGAAAACTACAATGTTGGTGGGCCAACGTCCAGCAGGAGGAGCCTCTGAGCTTCCTATATTGATTTTTTTTTTTTTTTTTTTTTTTTTTTCCCTGAAAAATTACAGGGAAGCCACTATAGTATGGACAGAACAGACAGTATCAACTTAAAATTCTTTACAACAGATCCAAGTTTACACCTCAGTTTTTCCATAAACAAGTATCACTTTTTAAAGTTGAAGTTTAATTAAACACTAGGTCTTGTTTTATTCAGATCTGTAGTACCAAAAGGAGAGAATTTCTGATCTGCTGGACATTATAGAATGACATCCTATTTATTCTCATAAAAGATAACTAATAAAATTCTTTAAGACTTGTTTACTGTTTTATAAGGCAATCTCATCAGGAGAAACATTTGACCTACTAGTTTTGATGTAAAAAAAAACAAGCCTTTCCTACTTGAGGATCTTGAAGTAATTGCTGAAATTGTTAAGCTCCTTTTTAGGCATCAGGAAACAGACAAGCTAGGAAGAACAGACTGGTCGCATAGCAAGGACATATCAAGCCTGTTACAGAGGAAGGAATAAAAGGCATATCTTCCCTTTCAATTTCTCTAATATCTTTTTTCAATTCTGTAGTTTTCAAATTGGCCCACAGGTCAACAGCAAACTTTCTGGCACTTTTCAGAGCAAAGTATTTCATGTTCAGAGACCCAAACTAAAGTAAGGACTGGATTCAGATGCTAGACTTAGAATATCTGACACATCTAGACTTATCCTAAAAAAAGGAGAGGAAAAGAATGTTGTTTACTGGAAAGCAATGTAAATGGCACCTATATCACAGACATGAGTTCTAGAATGGAGTTACCCTGATCTTGATTCTAACTTACATTCCTTGGTAATGCACACTATACAAAGCTGCCTCTAACAAAATGTTTTCTGTACTTTTTTTGTCACTGTCCATCCTGTTAACCTAACAGATAAAGGTGAAGCTTTGGTGATACAGGACTATTTCATCACATATTTCAATGGAAAACACACTTTGCAATAAAACTGACTTTATCTGAAGTCTCTGCTCTTTGAGCTCCCAGATCTAATGCCATCGATATTTTAGTTCAACCCTTTCTGTCACACAGGGTTAACTTACCCTAATTTGTGAAGCAACTGGAGATCCTCCACAGCAAATGTATTGAACACAAAGTACTATTTAACCCCTTACCGACAACCTAAAGTGAGACGGGGCACGAGTGAAAAAGAGGTACAAAAGAAACGTTACCAAGAAGTGGGTAACAGCTGAGAAAGTTTCCCCTCGGTCTTTCACTGTCACATTCACCTACCAGCGATGAGGATAACTGATGCTACCTAGGGAGCAGTATCGGGGTGAGGGGGTTCTCTCAGTCACCTGGGCTGTTGGACACGAACACACAGCTTCACCTCCTTATCTCGCACACCGCTGGGCAGAGCAAACCGACCCCAGAGCCCCCACCACCGAGAGCAGCCGATGAGGTCGGCGGTGCTCCCTGAGACGAAGGGCGAGGCTGCCCTCTCTGCCAGCCAGCGGGCTGGGGAAGGCGGGGATTCTGCCGCCTCCACAGCTTGCCGCCCGGCTTCGGGGCCCGTTGCCCTTAGTGAGAAGCCGCTTCGCTTCTCTCCACCCACACCGGCTCCTCGCGTGCGGCCACAGCCGCTTTCCCTCGCTTGGGTTTGAACTGCCCGCCTTTACCAACCGCTCCGCGCTGCCTCCCCAGGGGAGCGACGCGGCTCTGAGGTGAGGGCAGGGCGGGGGCGGCCCGAAGAGCGCTGCCTCTAGGAATAAGAATGGCAACAGCTGCGCTCCGCGTTCTCTTCGCACTTTATACTCCAACTTCTGCGGCTCCCGCCGCTCCCGGCCCTCCATAAAGCGCCCCGGTGCTGCCCGTCTGCCCGTTCCGTTCAACTGCTCCTCTCAGGAGCTGGGCTGAGGCGCTCCCGCTGCTCAGAGGGGCTCAGCTCCCGTGGGGCGGGCGGGAGGCACCTCCAATGGGGAGCCCGAGCCTTCACAGAGCGTAATCTGCATCAGGATCTTTAAGCCTGAGTTATAAGGGCGCTAATTAATTCACATCAATTAGCTTACTCGTACCCGACAGTTCAGGAGCTAGATAATCATACACAATTTCTGTTTTTCTTTCCTAGAAAGCTTACGGCTTTCTTCCTCCACCAGAAACAGTGCAAGATGAAAGAGGCTTTAAATCGTTGGGCGTCGCTCTGAGAGCAACGCCTCCGCCCTGGGCAGAATGCCGGAGGCTTCCCGTGGTAACGAAGGTCTGCGCAGAGCGGGCGGGCTCCATAGCCCTTGGCGCCTCGGGGCTGAGCAGCGGCGCCGTAAGGCGGGCTGGGGGCAGCGCGCGTTGCAGAGCATTCCCTGCCCAGCCGGGGAACGGGGCGCCTTCGTGTACGGGTAAGAGACCGGAGGGTACCTGTAACGGGTGAAAAGATTAGGGATTTTGCCACGTTTCCCCGTTCCATTTTAGAATGAGAATTGAAGAGTTCGGAAATGGAATCCAGGATTTCCCGAAGTGCTTTCGGTAGCAGTTTCACGCGAATCGGAAGAATTTATCTTACGTGTTCACGGAGGAAATGGCCCCTCCTGCGAGGCCGAGGAGCGTTTAAGCGCATATACTAAACGTCCTTTGAGGACCGGCGTTTATCAGCCTGTCTGAAACGGGGCTATACCCCGAGGGAGGCGGCGTGAAGCACAAACGGAGAAAGTAATGGACGTTTAAAGACTCCCTCCTCCCCCCCCCACCGAGGGAATGGTTAAATGATGGATATAATTAAGAGACTGCATGATTTCCTTGAGACAATCGACTTTTTCATGGCGTATAATTAGTAAGTAGGTTCTAAAGCATCATCTCGATGCTTTAATCCTTTCGTCAAACCCGTTTTAAAATACAAAACGAATGCGGGGAAATACTATCGGCTTTATTCACTAATTTAAATGTCTGGTTACTTCTGGAGTGTTAATTACTTAGTGTCCATCAGCAGAGGAAGGTATCGTTCCGGGTTTTTTTTTGCTCTCGGCAGTAGCTCCCACCTCCGAGGATCGCAGCAGAGGACAGAGGGCAGCGAGCATCACAGCCGTGCACGTCCCGTTTTCCTTGAAGTGTTTTATTCTGGCACTCAGAAGTTAGATTTAGCTTTATTTTCGCACAGCAGCATGACAAAGCTGGTGAGCAGCCTAGAAATCGTTAGTGTGTTATTAATTTTAGCTTAAATACAAAATGAGGAAAACTGCAAGTATTTATTGTTTCTCAAGTTTATTTTATGTGACTTACAGCTTATCCATCTAGGTGATTTGCTGCTATGAGAGAATTAAATTATAACTTATAAAAGCTTATCGTCTCCCCAGGAAACAATTCTTATTCGAAGTTCGGAAAGAGCCATTTCCTTACATCGGGGGATTCTTGAATGATGAACTCGTTTTGTAAATATTGAACAGTATTTGTTAAACACTTTCCAGGCATAAAGCAAAATTCCTACGGACTTGGGGACATGCGACTCCCCCAGGACGCCTGCGGAGCACGATCCTACAAATAGTATTAATATACAGCACCGCGGCTTGTCAGCTTGTTTCAGTGCGGGGATACATGGCACAGCCCACAGGGTACCGAGATTTAGTTGATAGTCATATATCTTAGTTGACAGTCATGGATAAAGAGTTTCTAAGCACGAAAAGGATGGCGAAGTAAAACTCATCGGCAGTAAAACCCTTCACTCGTATGATGAGACCTGTGGCGGGATTTAAGCTAAACACGCTGCTGTCTGCTTTCTCTGTAGGACAAAGAGAAAGGAATTTTTCTCATAGGAAAAGTCGGCGCTCCCGGGTCGCACAGCTCTCTCGTGTATACCTCCCAGCGCCTATTTGGTGGCCTGGGAGCATTCTCCTCTTATAGGTCCCTCTTCTCTCAGCGCCAGCTTCAGGTGCTTCCCGCGCTCCCTCTGCCGAGGCTCCTCCAGTCGCTAACCGCTGTGAATCCTCCACAGCTCGTAGAGACGGCGGCGCAGGCCCCGCCCCCCGGCGCTGCGCAGTGACGTCATCATTCGGCGCCGAGAGGACGGCTTGGCGTGTGCGGACCGGTGCCGCTTTCGGCTTTTCTCTGCCGGGCTGGCGGTGGTGCTCTTCGTGGTGAGAGGTGAGTGGGGAAAGGTCCGCCCAAGCCCTTTAAGCCCGTTAAAACCCCTGGGTGTCAGCGGTGAGGAGGCGTGCCTGGCGCTAAACCGAGGCGGGTCTGGGGGGGGCTGCGTGGCGCCGTTGTTTTCAAACGCCAAGGAATGACTGCCAAAGTCTAATTGTAATCTACTGGTACAACGTGTCTGTATTGCATGTATATTAAGGTTCTACTGTGGTAGCAATAAAGCAAAGCCTTATTTAAAAGTTACAGCGTTTAATGGATTATCTCGAATTATCTTGAATGAAGTGGCATAATAGGGAGTTTTGCAGGGGGATTTGGCATTTACTGATCAGCCTCTCACCAACAAAGAATGAAATATTTCTGTCATTCTCCAGTTTTCAAGCCAATAGTGCATTTAGATGGGGACAAACTGAAGGTCGGGGAGATGTACTAGGAAATCAAGCAGAAGTGCCCCATAACCAGGCTCAGCAACCTCAAAGAAAAACAAACCCAAACATGAATATGTTTGTATTCTAGCCTAGATTTACACTGGAAGGGAAAAAAAGAGTGCTTTCTTTCTCTATATGGTCACAACCTCAAAATGTATGTCTGCAGCAGTGCTTCCATGTTAGATTGGGGTTGCTAAAAAATGAAATGTTTATGTAGTAGTTGTCTGATACTGTGAAGGAATACTGGAGTCCAAGTAAGGTTGAACAACCTAAACTATTACAACAAGATGTGAACTGATGCTTGGAGAGTACTACTGGTTATCTAATAGTTGACCAATTGGTAATTCTTTTAGAATTTCCACAGAATTTCTTCTCCCTTGCCTCTGTTTATTCATTTCTTTTTAATGGCTATTATTCTAACTACAGACAGCTCCCAGGATTTCTAATTAATTAGATCAAACAATGAAAAGGTAGATTGGGGTATCTAGTGCTAGGACAGAGAAAAAATTGAGTTAGTTTTGTTTCCAGCAAGGTAAAAACTCTTACCACCAGCAGAAAGGAGGAAAAAAAATATTAAGTGAGCATTACTGTTTAAAATTCTCTTTAATAAAAACAATGCGCAGCCTCCATCTTCAGAGCTTTTTCACAGCTGATTGTAAAGACCTGAGCTGACTTTTTTGAGGAGGAAGTTGCACTAGATGAATTTCTGAAGTCTCTTCCAATGTGAATCATCTTACATAGCATGTATCAAACACAGCTTGAATATTTTTGTATTTATTTTAAAATAAGTTTTTCAATTTCTGTCAACTTCAGATGGAAATATTGAAACATTTATGTAAGCCAACAACAAAAACCATATATTTTGTTTGTTGTTTTTGTTTAGAGCATGGATTCACAGAAGGACGTTCAGCCTCCAAAGCAGCAGCCAATGATTTACATTTGTGGAGGTAAAGAAAAGAGGTTAATGATATCTGATGCTCTAATAATGAGGAATAGTGCTGCAGAGTACAGAAATCTACATAACTATGTTGTGGATGCTGATGATCCATTAGCATTATGCGCTGATGCTCCCACGCACGTGGACTACCTGTGGATATCGATATGGAAGTCATTCACTAGAACTTCTGTTGCTGTGTGGAGGTCCTGCATCTCTAGAGGATGATAGTGGAACTTTTATTTATTGCATCTTAGACGCAAGGTTTTTTGGAAATACAGTGTTGTCACTCAACTTTTATTACTGTGCAGGAGTCAAATTTTCTCTTACCTATACGTAAGTTAACAAAGTGAAAATTGGAGCTTTTGAATAGCCCCTTTAAAGACCTCTGAAAAATTTTTGCTTAGGAAAATAAACTTGGTGTCTGAGAGGGGCTGGGATGAAGGTTTCATTAGTGGAGTTTTGACTGTGGAATGTATTCTGTACAGTAATGTTTAGATAATTTTTAGCAATATGTTTGCCAATCCTTTTTTTTTCTCTTAACAGTATATTAAGATAATTCTTATACTTATTAAAATTCAGTGCAATTATTTTCTATTATGCTTTATTTGCCAGTAGAAAAAATTTGACCATTATTATTTCTGAAAGTTATCTGTGCTTTAGCAGTACTGTTTTTGTTCATCCATTGCCATTCTCTTTCTCCATCATATCAGAATGTCATACGGAAAATGAAATAAAGGCAAGAGATCCAATCAGATGCCGAGAATGTGGGTACAGAATAATGTACAAGAAAAGAACAAAAAGATGTATCCTTTTGCAAAGGCAATTGAATGCATTTGGGAAGCCGTGGGGGCAAGGTGTGTAAGAAAACTGAAAATGAGAGTAATGATGCAAGGATCCTTCAAGACCAAAAATCAACACATCAAACTACCATAGGGACATCTCTGGAGTGTAATTCAGCACCTTGTTTTTTGGTACTTTTAGTTTTCCATTTTTTAAGAAAACTACAGTTAATAATCTTGCGTGACATACTGTGAATGTTTGCTATTATACAGCCTTTTAAAAAGGGAAAGTGTTATAGGGTTAATTATCAGAGCATTTCAGAAATTATTTATACAGTTACTTGTGACTTCAGATTTATGCATTCTCTCTTTTCGTTCTCCCTGACCCCTTTCCTCTCCTGGATCTTTTTTGAACTGCAACACATTTTTCTTTAACTGCACAATTCCAGTGGTGGTTTTTGATGCCCGGTGATTTGACCTGAAGATACATTAATTTTATACTTCAGTATTTCTGGCAACTTTGCTCTGTAAATCCATTGGTGTATAAATGCATAATTTTGTGGTTTAAGATATTGAAATATTAAACTTTACTGTATTACTTGTCATACCATCACAATTCTATCTATACTACTTTTAGAAGCGGATTTGTTACTTAAATTTTAATCTGTTAAATTCATTAGTATTGTATTCATTTTTGAGTTAAGTGCTAACCTTGTTTTCACAACTCTTGCCTAAACCTTACTTGTGTTTTAACTCTTTTCAATGTTTTTTTGGACTCCTGTGAACTACATAAAATCTTGGTTTGAATAAATCCCAGTGAAGATATATTGAAGGCAACACAAAATCAGGTCTGAAATTTGGATTTGAACTCGACAGGACCCAAATCAGGATAAAAATTATATGCATAAATGCAAATTCTCAGTCTGCTTTGTGACCTTGCTTGTATAGAATCATAGAATCATAGAATCACCAAGGTTGGAAAAGACCTAAAAGATCACCCAGTCCAACCGTTCACCTATTCCCAATAGCTCCTATTAAACCATGTCCCTCAACACAACATCCAGCCTTTCCTTGAACACCCCTAGGGTCGGTGACTCCACCACCTCCCTGGGCAGTCCGTTCCAGTGCCTGACCACCCTTTCTGAAAAGTAAAGTTGTACTCACCAAAATAAGTAGGACTGTAGTATAAAGATAAGGTAAAACTGAAGTAACATCTTTTTGCTTTTGTCATGAGTCTGTAATAAGAAGTGGTTGTTGTTTTGTACTGATAAGCCCAAACCTTTTGCGTTCCTTTACCTGTTCAGAGTATTTGCTAAGTGATACTAAAATACCCATTGTGCTAATGTGTCTTAGAAAACACTGCTGCTTTGTGGCTGATGCTAATTCAGCCTGATTAAATGCTTGCAGATCTAAATTTTGATGCTAGTGCTGATGACGCTGTTGAAAGACAAATGTGTCTTTCACGTTTGTCTTTCATTCCCCTATGAGGACAGGCTGAGGGAGTTGGGCTTGTTCAGCCTGGAGAAGAGAAGGCTGCGGGGTGACCTCATTGCAGCCTATCAATACCTGAAGGGAACCTACACCCAGGAGGGGAGTAAACTCTTCAAAAGGGCTGACAACAGCAGGACTAGGGGAAATGGATCGAAGTTGAAGGAGGGAAGATTTAGGTTGGATGTTAGGGGGAAGTTCTATACAAGGAGAGTGGTTAGGCCCTGGAACGGGCTGCCCAGGGAGGTTGTAGATGCCCCGTCCTTGGATGTGTTTAAGGCCAGGTTGGACGGGGTCCTGGGCAACCTGATCTGAATGTGTGTGTTTGGTGGCCCTGCTAGGCAGGGGGGTTGGAACTACATGATCCTTGAGGTCCCTTCCAACCCGGGTGATTCTGTGATTCTGTGTCATTTCACTGCTGTCAGTACGGTATGATACCGCTGCTGGGGAGTGGGCAGCCTGCTGCAGAAAGCAGCATGGATGGGTTTTAGTGAGGGTAATGTAAGGTTATGGGCAGTGGTGAGGCTCAAGGCACTTGGAAGAGTATCGGACTGATTTAGACTGAATAAAATACACTGAAAGCAAACCAGTGATGTTTTATGAAACCAGAAACCCAACTGCCATACTTCTGAAGAGAATACCCTGAAGTCAAATCATTTCTAAGACGGAAGAACCTTTTCATTTATCAGTACAATGCTAGAAATTATATTTAATAAAATATAAATTAAAACAGTGGGACGCGTTTCTAATAGCCAGAATGCTACAGCGCTGCAAGCCCAGACACCCCGCGCTGCCAGGGCTCGCCGCACCCCTCAAGCCTATGCGCGGGAGGCGCCTCCTATCCCCGCCCTACACCGCCGCGCCGGTCTCCTCCATCAGTCCGTTGCGCATAGCGCATGCGCAGGCGAGGCGAGCGTCCACGGTGAAGGCCAGGGCTGTTCGGCGTTCGGGCAGGTGGGTGTCGAGGGCCGTCGTGCAGCGCCGTTACCTCCGCACAGAGCCGGAGGGGCTCTGCGGACGCCTCGCGAGGAGGTGGTTGTGTGGGTTCCCGCGCCTTCTCTGTCGATCACCTCCGCGCCGCCGGCCGCCATGTTGTACATAGCAACGGTTGCTATGTTGCGATTGCTGCTTCTCTCTGTAGACCTCTGAGAAGAGCAAACTGTGTTATCAGGTCTCGAAATCGGAAATTTTTCTTTTGTAGCAATAATTCTACCGCAGATAGTACTTTGTGGCGTAAACACGGCTATTCCTTAAATTAGCATCGCTTCAAAATACATCTAAGTGCCCGGAGATTTTTTTTCTTTTAATGTTTAGTTATGGGTGATGAGTCAGTAATGTATTCGCTGGATCAAGGAACTACTAAAACATATCAAATACCTATTGGTCATCTCGACTACAAGTTCATTGAAAAATGTACAGACGTTCAACACCTGGAAAAGATTCTCAAGGTACTAAGGTAAATTTTATCTTTTTTAAACTTTGTTACTAATTGTATTCCCATTCGATTTCTCTTGATCTCTTTGTGAGTTTCCCTTTTAAAAACTTGAAATTAAAATGCACTGTGAAAGTAATTATGTTAAAAGTGTCCAGATGATTAAATGGAGAGTTAGAAATTCAAGTCCTCATTTAACACAACAAAGAGGTTTGATAAATCGTGCCAGCTTTTTCTCAAATTTTGCTACTGCGTTTTTACAGAAGCACATCTTTCCTATTTGTGGCAATATCAAGTGCTATGCCTGTTCCACTTTTGCTGAAAATTACAGTGACATTTTTTTGTGAGTACCTGGAACTGTGTTTGTATGTCTGCTGGAAAGTGGTTAACTGAAATTTTCTGATCAAAATCAAGGGGTGATAGATTTCAGTTGCAACAGGAAAACAGCACTCTATAGTCACTGTATACAGAAAAATAGGGACGTTTGTGGGGAGTGCAGCATAATTTAGTTCTCTTGTGTAACTTACACATGTGTTCATTTCAAAGGTCTGGTGAAGAGGGATGTTATCCTGACCTGACATTGTTTTGTGAAAAGCGTATTGAACATTTAGCTCCAGGGAGCAGAGTTCTCAGAAAAGATAAACCTGCAGCCACAGCAGCTGATTTTACAGCTGAAGAATGGGAAACAATTAATGGTGAACTGATGGTACAGTATGACTCTAGTTTATAGTGGTCAGTAATGTAATCTCTTTGTTTTATCAGTCGTGAGTGGTTGTTCAACCTCATCTTGTGATTAAGTAGAAAGTGATTATTTGATTAACTGAGGTGAGGAAATGATAGAAAGGTTCATTTGTCGTTTTCTTTTTTCATATTTATTGTGATAATGCTAATGAATCTTTAGACCCATTATAACTCTACAGAACATATTTGTTTTTTATTATTCATTTGAAAAAGCTCAAAACAATTGCAGACTGCGTATAGGAAAAGCACTTTCCACAATCTGTTCATGAAAGAGCAGATGACTTTTCTATACTGTTCAGTGTAGAAACTGAAGATCTCTTTCTCCAACTGAAAATATTGAAGAGGTCTAGATGGGCATTAGCATTTTAGATTATATTATTTTATCTGAAAAACAGAATCTCTTGTAGTGTCATTCCTCAGTAGCGTGTCTTGCCTGTGATAGAAAATCCAGATGTGTACATTACAGAATCACAGAATTGTAGGGGCTGGAAGGGACCTCCAGAGATCATCGAATCCAGCTCCCTTGCCAAAACAGGATCCTTACAGTAAGCTGCACACGTAGGCATCCAGGCAGGATTTTAATATCTCCAGAAGAATCCACAACCTCCCTGGGCAGCCTGTTACTGTGCTCTGTCACCTTCACCATGCAGAACTTCCTATGCTCCAATTTATGGCCATTTCCCCTTGCCCTGTCAACACAGACCACTGAAAAGAGCTTAGGCATTGTCCCACACTTAAGATATTTGTAAACATTAATAAGGTTCCCTCTCAGGCTTCTTTTCTCAAGGCTGAACAGACCCAGATAACCCCTCAAAGGGTTTCCCTCAAAGGAGAGATGCTTCAGGCCCTTTATCATCTTTGTGGCCCTCTGCTGGTCTCTCTCCAGGAGATCACTGTCTTTTTTGTACTGGGGAGCCCAGACCTGGGCAGAGTACTCCAGGTGAGGCCTGACATGGGCAGAGTAGAGGGGGAGGATCACCTCCCTTGACCTGGTGGCCGCGCTCCTTAAGTAGTGAAGTAATGCTTTTTATGGCCCAGAAACAAACATGCTTTGAATTATGTAGGAGAAAGTGAAGCAGCAAAACTAATCTTATGAGAAACTAGGCAAAACTATTTTTAAATACATTATATGAAAAGATGGGTGAATGCTTTTTGTTGCTTTCTGAATCTGAAGGGTTAGAGGCAACTTTGTTCATAGCATGTTCTAATCAAATTATGCTATTTCTTTTTGAGACTATTTGTTTCCAGTCTTTTAAGGATGATTCTCCAAGTGCTTCTGAATGATTAGAAGCACTTCTGCTTTTATTTTTGCATGTTTCTCTTATAATGGTTCCCCTTTTTGGACTCTAAAAGATGATAAAGGAAGGTGTACTTGTACTCTGTTCATCATTAAGTTTTCTTGAATTGGCAAAGTTATGAACAGAAATAACCCTTTTAATTTAAGGAACTTAAGCTTATGTTTAAGCTTTTTAAGCTTGATTTTAGGCTTTATTTTTAATCTTCCTCTGAATTGCTTTTCCTTATTAAGAGCTTTGTATTGTAAGGATAGTTGCAGGGTCATTGTAGACTATGATGTGTATCTGTTGTACAGATTTATGGTATGGATTCTTACTTATTTTCAGAGCTGGGTGGCAGAAATGAATGAAGATGATAATAAGCCACAGGTTTTGAAAACAGGAACATTGCATGAAGGACAAGATAACTTGCCTCCTATTCGTTGTTCCAGCAGCTGTCTTCCTGCTTTCCAGGTATCTCCAATTTTCTAAAACAGTATTTTTACATAAGTATGTTAATTATGTCTTTCTAAGATCAGTAAATTCAGATTTTAAGAACTTCTATCCCTTGAACCTCTAGATTTATTTTATTAACCAGAAAATAAAACCCTTTAAGCTGTCTCATAAGAGACCAATGCTTAAACAAAGCTGCCTCTTACATACTAGCATGCATCTTGTAATTATCTTTTAATCTTGATAAAGAGTCTATTTCTGAAGCAAATCTTAAACACCCTTTTCTATGTACAGTTCATGTTTCAGTAGTGTTAAATGGTATATACTAGGTTTATTTTGCAGGTTTTTTTTTTTACTGGTGTGGAGTCATGGGACATATTTTCTACAAATGAAAGAAGAGTGAGCTTTATAACAGAATTTCCCTCTCTTACATAATACAGAAGTTTCTGTATTCATAATCCTGTTTCTTTTTCACACTGCCTTGGATTTTGAGGTTACATGTATACTGCAAAATAAAAGAG